CAAAGGAGTCTCCTGGTTGGAGGAGGGCTGGGCATAGACTAAGTAAAAGCCCAGACACTGAGAGCAGGGCTGGCAGTAACATCTGGGGAACACCACTCAGCAGGAAGGCTGTCGCTCCTGAATGCTAGCAAGAAGAAAGACATCCAGAGGTTTGGGTGGGAACTAAGTGGACGGAGGAGGTTCCTGGGGACCCAGTGTGGGGTCCAGAGCCCTGAGAAGGGGGCTGAGAGTGTATGGGCCTGTTCAGGGACAAGGAGAGCCCTGAGAGAAGGGCTGAGTGCCTGGGCCCTGTTGAGAGGCCACATGAGCCCGAAGAGAGAGGGGCCTAGTGAGAGATCAGGCAAGTCCTGGGAGAGGGGCTGAGAGTCTGTGGCCTATTGAGGGGCCAGGTTGTGCCCAGAGAAGGAAGGGGCTGTGTAGAAAGACCTACGGAGGGCTCCGAGCCCACAGAGAGAGCGATCCATGGAGGGGCCTGAAAAGGTGGACCCAGAGATGAGGGAGCTGACAGCTGGAGGACTGACCCGGATAATCTCAACTGGCCTGTGCGGGGGACGCAGCCCAGGAGGGGCTGAAGGGTAAACAGACTACAGCAGAGATGGCCAGAGCTGGGCAGGCCTTGAGGTGGGGCCAGGGCCTAGGAGAGGCCAAAGGTCCCAGGGGGCAGGGCACAGCTGAGAGGAAGGGCTCAAGGGATGTGCAGCCCAGGATGACAATGGCTGGTAGGTCCAAGAGTGAGCCAGGGCCAGAGATGGAGGACTCAGGGTAGGAGATGGAGCCAGGACCAGAGGGTCCAGCGGTTAGCAGCCCAGGAAGGGCTTAGGACATGTGAGATCAGGTATGTCTGAAAACCACTCCTGGATAAGACCTAAAACTTCACCCTACTGGAGTTGGTTGGTGTGGTGGGGCTGCCTATGGCAGGGCAACCTTCATGAAATGCCATGCATGGGCCCTCCAGGGAAAGGCAAGGATGGGCACTGGAAAGCCTCAGCTCCCACTGCCTTGTGGGTGTCCCGTGGAGGGGGAAGACTAGGGGAGCACACCTCAACAGAAAAGCACTTGGCAGGGAACACTGGGACCACATGGGTCTAATGGCCCAGTTAGGGGCCAAGGAAAACCAGGACCACATGGGTCCAGCAGCCTAGCAAGGGACCAGGAATAGACAGAGGCCCAGTGAGGGGCCATGAAAGACCAGGACCAGGAAGAGTCCAGCGACCCAGTGAGGAGCCAGGAATAGAGCACAGGGTTAGATGGGGCTGAGGGCCTGGAGACAGGCCAGAAAAGTACAGAGGAGCTGAAACCCTGGAGAGAGGCCAGGAGAAAAACTGAGAGGCCTAGTAGCCCAGGGAGCGGTTGGGTGAGACCAAGGGGTCTGAGGGCCCAGAGAGGAGCCAAAGGAGAGACCAAGGGATCTAAGGCCTGGAGTGGGGATGAGAGAGGCATAGAGAGGGACTGTATCAGTGACTAGCAGAACATCTGCAAGGATGCCATCAGCAAGGCATGGGACATGGTGTAGGGGAATTATGGAGCCATGTAAATAGCCCACAAGTCCATGACCACAATCTAGGTGGTCATTTTAATAAGATCAGTGCAGCCTCCTTCTTATCATCATAGTTCCATCAAGGCATAGCAGGTAACACAAGAAGGTGCTCTAGGGGCAGAGTGGGCACGATCATGGAGCTTCCAGGGGGTGTCACGACCACCCCTGGAACCACGATATGTGACACTAATATGAAGATCTATGGTTATAAACTGGAACCTGGGCAAACAACAGTATAATACTTTAAATCAAAAGGCTGTCCAGGGTGTAATCTTTGACAGCAAATGGTACAGTGTGAAAGCTCAGGTTTGCTCTAACAACAAGGGTGCCAGACTCTAGAATTTCTCTTCAACTTACTTGGCTCAGCATTTTGTGCAAGATAAAAGTGAAAAAATGTCAGAAGTAAAGCTTTAACTACAGCAGCTCAGGCAGCTGCAAGTTTAGTACACCTGAACTTGCAGCTGCCTCAAAAGCATTCATACAAATGGCAAACCACATCTACATCTGCTATTTCCTACTGCACAGAAAAGTAAAAGCTTGACTGAATAATTCCTTTTCCTTTGTCTTTGTAGAGGAATGGTCTTTAAATCAGGACAGTGTTTTGATGATGCCTTGTGCAGTAGTTTGTTTTAATTCAGTATTACATACACAAGCTGCCTACTTCCAAAACAGAGCACTGAGTCAATATATACCCCTGAATTAGCAGGGAGGAATGGAGGGGTAAAAAAAACTTCTCTCCAAAATTTTAATCCTCAACATAGGCCTTAAAGCAAAGGACTATTCTCCCTACAAAAATACATACATATGTTTGTTGTTTCTATGGAAAGAGAAATAAAACAGCTTTATGAAGTGTTATCTTCAACAAACAAGCAAGAATCCAAAAGGAAACTAAATATGAAAAGACATTTTTCTCAGTTTCCCAATTTAAAATACAAGATGCCTAAAAAGAAATAAGGTGCAGATTTAACTCCATAACTATTTGAAGTATGTTGTAGATTTTGTAGCTCCTTTTAAAAAACAGGGTCATGCTGGGATACCTTAAAATAGAGCTTTTTAAAAGGTTCTTTTATCCAGCTCAAATGCTTCTATTCTTTATTCATTACCTTAACTCTGGTAATCTGCTACAGTTTGGCCACTTGCTGAGCCACAGAGTTTGGACTCTAACCAGCTTCTGAACACTCTTCAGGAAGTATTCTGGGAAGCTCCCAGTTTAAATAATTTCCCAGCCAAAGGCTACTGATTAATTATGAATCTTGTGACAGTAATAGCTGTACCAGCTAAAATGCACAAGAATTGAGTACACAGAAGAGGCTAACAGATAGGCAAAAAAGAAAAAAATGAAGGTTCTGCTTTTGCTACTCTAAACTGGCATATCAGTCCTCTCAAATTGTTGTGGCTTTTTAGCTGATATGTACTGTTTAAAAAGTCTTTTCCTTTTCATTGTAAGCATAGTGGATTTAATTTACTGCCACATCTGTTCTTTTCAAAAGGGACACGCTTAACTCTAAATCTAGTCAATTTAAAAATAATAAAGTGATTTCAAATATGACACCTGCCCAACTGTTGTGATTTTGCTATGCAATTTTTATTTCTGAAGTGTTTTTCTCTAGCCTGTTGCTGTGTGAAAGGCTTACAAAGAGAACAGAGGTTTCATGAAGTGCTGTCAAATATACAAAGTAGGCAATCTAGAAAATCCTTCTCTCACAATCGTCTTAGGTGGTGTCAACAACAAAGAGTAGACAATACATTTTCAAGCTGCTACTCCTTATTATCACACTATAAAGGAGCTTGCCATTCCCTTGTCAAAGTATATAAAACACCTAAGTCTATTTGGAAGACAGTCTTTAAGCTGCTAATTATTTTCAACTGTGCCAGCTGATTGTGATAGAAAAGCTAATATTTAAGGAAAGTAAATTTTAATTTACTTATTTACTACTTACTATTTATTACTTACTAATCCTAATTGTTATATTTTGTCCTTGAATCAAGTGCCTCCTTTGTTGCATGTTTTGCAAGCTCTTGATATTGGCTTCCTGTAAACCAGTGATTTTCAACCAAGAGATCTTTTTAAGGGTACTGCAGCACCTGACCCGTGTAACAAAGTAAGTGCTCACTCCTCACCACACCCAGCCCCTTGTGGCAGAGTGGGCAGCCCCTGCCACTGACAGCTCCCATGCTCCAGACAGCGCACACTGCTTCAGGAGGGTGGGGGACATGGGGCCAAGCTTTTTGACCTGGATCCTCCCCTTGCTTCTCTTATTCTCCCAGGACCAAAGGGGAAAGCAGCTCCAGTCCCTAAGTGTAAGTCCCTATAGGAGCTGCCGTGGCAGCAGGGGCTGCACTTGCCCCCTCAGGAACAGAGGTATATCTTTCTACTAGGGCTGTGCAAAGCTTCAGGTGCTGATTTGATTCGGAGGAGATTTGGGTCGATTCAGCGGCCAAATCTCCAAAAATGAATCGAATTGGGAGACCAATTAAAAGGTCCAAATCAATTCGAAGCTCTCTGAATCAATTCAGAAAAGATTCTGAGAGCTTCGGAGATTCGGGCAAACCCACTCACTGCTGCAGGGAGCTAGACCCGGACTCCATGCCGGTAAGTAGGGGGCAGGGAAGGAGGGGCTGGAGGATGCATGAGGGGAACATGGGGGGACCCTTGCCAGGCCCCATCCCCTGCCTGCTCCCCTAGCCCCCTGAGCACCCCCCAACCCCTGCCCACTCTCCCAGCCTCCCATGGCTTCCCTGCCCGCCCCCGCTCCCCGCCCTTCAAAAAAAAAAACCACTCACCAGTTGCTGCAGTAGCCTCGGGGCTTCTGGGGACTTGTGGCAGAGCCCCCCACGCAGCACGGGGCAGCAGGGATCGCCCCCTGCCTGGTAGGAGCTGGTGAGCAGAGGGCTTTTATTTTAATTTTTTTTAAAGAGCCGGGAGCTGGGGCTGGGAGAGCAGGCAGGGGATGGGGGTCATGACGGAGCCCCTCACACAGCAGCCGGGCCCCCGATCTGCCTGCCAGATGACAGGAGGATGCTGCTGCCGGCTGGGACCGGCACTGGGCACAGCCCGTGCCAACCACCAAGAAGATTTGTGCTGCCGCTGGCCCCAGCCAGCAGTGACAGCATGCTGTCATCCGGCATGCACTTCCGGGGGCCCACACCCCCAAGCGGGCTGCAGGGCCTGTGCCGGACTCCTCCCAGGGACATGGGCCCCCAATCTGCCTGCCAGATCACAGGAGGCTGCTGCTGCCACCCCAGAAGGTTCATCTGAATCAGGCAAGAAATGACAACGTTTTGGGCATTTTCATGATTCGCCATTATAGCTTACGGGGGAAGCATCAAAACAGCATTGAAACAGCGAAAGTTTCAACGAAATGAAATGGAACTTGAAATGAAACACTGTTCCATGAAATGTCGAAACAGAAGTCAAAGCAGAGTGGTGCTGTTTCGCACAGCCCGAGAGTTCACTACTTACCTTCCTAGATGAATTTTCAAAGTGTGCCCCACATCCTTTGCAGCTCTGTTCAGAACCAGTAGGAGAAGGGTAGGAGCTGTAACCCGGGTTGGAATATGCCTGGGATCTGGGACCCTGTTGTGGCTGCTGCTGCATCTCTTCAGGTTGTCCATCCAAACAAAACCAGTTACAACAGGACGCCCACATAGTAACTAATAGAAAGAGGAGAAAAAAAAACACAAATTACCACATAGGAGGCCACCTACCTACTACCAAAGTGAGGGCCAGGCACAAAATATTTATAATTCTTTTATTAACTTACTGAATAGCAGGGAGACAATCTTTTCCCCAGAAAATTGTTAAATTCATGCAAAAACGTACATAAGTGCAAAACATAACAAGCTTTTTACCCTTAAAGAGAATGAATGTTACCAGCATTCTTCCAAGCTGCTCATTAGGATAGAGGGAAGATTAAGTTGAAATTACATTCTGTCCTCTATGGATATTCTGCAGGGCCTCTAAGCCTCACTGTTATTGTGAAGAAAGGAAAATTGAGAGGCACTGGAATTTAAGCCTCATGGAGAGAGAAGAGACCCATGTTCTCACACATGCATTGCTTATGTAGAACTAATTGCAAGACCCTAGTTGGATCCCCTTTAGCTACATTTAGGTTCTGTGTATAGAGCTACTTCAGCTATCACATAAAAAGGTTGTGGAAAATGACACTGGAGGTGCTTCTAAAGTTAGGCTTTCAGTCTTCATCTTAGACAAGTGGACAACCAAATGGTACAAGGTCAGTGACCATAACAGGCATTTATACAGGTACTTTGGGGGGGGAGTAGTCACTGCTTTAATTAAAGCACCCAGAGCATCTCATGTATTAGCATCCCCATGCTGAAAAATGGCGGCAGGGGTGCTTTAACTACAGCTCATTGAACGAGCACACCCACATGCTAATACATGAGGTGCTGGAGTCAGCTGGAGCAGGGCAATTACAAATTACATATGTCAAAGCAGCCTCTCTGCACATGTCCAGGTGCCCAAATTGCCTTGCCAGCACATGAAACTTCCTTACAGTGAATCAGGTCAGCCTCTGCTAACTTACATTTAGAATTAACAGTTAACTATAGAGAAGCCAGATGCTAAAAATTCATAAATGCCTCCTCCTATCTCTTTCCTTGAAGTTCTGCTAGTTGAATATTCACCTATTCCTAAAATCCTGGGTATACAATGAAAAATGTTTGCTCCTGTATTTACTCAAATATAAGATGACCCTGAATGTAAGATGACTCCCCAATAATTTGATTCTATATATGGAAAATGCGCTCTGCCCTCCCCCTGCCTTGTAGCTTTCCTGCCCCCACCCCCACCCATTACTGTCAGACATTGCTCCAGCTCTGTTCCTCCCAAGCACAATGTGGAAGTGAACTGCACATGACAGTAAGGGAGTAAGGTGGGGGTACAGAGGGGAAGGAAGAAGCTGCAGAGGACAAGCAGAGTGGGGCAGGAGATAACTGCGGGTCTGACTCTAGCCCTGACCCAGACCTGAAGCAACTATCTGCTCCCCACTTCCCCTCTTAATTTAAAATGCAAGGGGCCAAAAAACTGGACTTTGAAATAAACCTGCCCTTTTACATTTGCATATGCAAATTACTACAGGTACCTATACATGCATCTTAACTTGTTGCAAACTGCTGCAAGTTTTAGTACAGGTACTACATAAACACACTTCTGAACCTATCTATACATAGTACAAACTTTTTTTTTTCTCATTTCATTTCAAGGGCCAAATCAGTTACAAATTCAGTTGGGCAAAGTCCAATAGTCAAATTCCAAAATTTAACAGAGCAGAGCTCAGTCACCAAGTCTGTGTGGCTCTACCATAGGGCAAGTATCCTCCCTCTCAGACCCATCAGTCTGGAGCTTTGGAAACTCTCCAAATCTAGGCAGGCATCCTGCCAGGCCCGGAGGCTTTGGGGTTCAGATGCCTCCAGTCTCACTTGCTCTGACCCAAAGACCGAAAACAAACTACGCTCTTTTTTTTTTTTGCAAAATTGTTTATTGATACATCTATCTATAGAGATATATCTAACTGTACTTCTAACAACCTGTCTTGTGACAGGACTAATGATGTAACTGTAAAAACTGTGTTTTGGACTGTCAAATGAACCATAGCTGTTACAAAGACCGCACCAGGCACCTGCATTCCCACATGCCCGTGCACTCATCACCGTCACCTTATTGCATAGTTCAAGGGTTTTGAACCTTTTTTAACAAGTATACCCCTTCTGTCTCCAAGTTTCAGCTCATGTACTCCTTTATATTTCTTTCTTGTTTTTAATGTTACCAATTATGTGATATAAGGCAGGCTACACTAATTAACATCAAATGCATTATTAATATATGCATTAAATATATATATCATAGTTATACCACAACAGTTTGGTCCTGGTATGCTGCTGGATTAGTACATAATAGGAAACAATATTGCAGCTCTTAATGAAGTGTTTGCATAAACTTGTTTCTGTATAACAAAGTTATTATGATTGATTATTATTGAGGCGGGGCGGGGCAGGGGGTGCACAGCCGGGACAGAGCAGGGGACAGAATCGTGAGTGGCTCATTCAGAGGGTGCGGGGGGGAGGCAGCTCCCACCACTATGTGCACCCTGGGAGGGCATGGGGGTGTGTGCCTCAGATCTGTGCACAGGTCAAGGGCAGGCTGGGGCCAGGGTGATGCCAGGCTCTTCCTAGTGGGGGGTTGGGCTGGGGCTGTGCTTGGGGTGGGTGGCAGCAGTGCTGGGAGTGCGGGCTAAGGCAAATTATAATGAGGGTTCATTTGTCACTTGAATGGGCGCTTCATAAGTGCTCTGAAGCCACGCATTTCTGTCAGTGCACAGCTGTACAACACTTTCAATGGCCCATCACGCAACAAAATGTCAGTTCTCTCACTGCCCAAAGTGTAAGTTTTGATGCTGGGGAGGCTGCCTTCTTGGAGACAAATGAGGTCTCTTTGTAGGTGGTTGAAACATTGCTGAATAGTGCCCCATTTTTCTTTCTTTGCTAAAGTTCTCACATTCCCAGGCTATTTGTGTCCCCATTACAAATGCTGTGAGGGGTGGGGGGAGCGGCTACCACCTTGCCTTTTTCACTCTCTGCTCTTTTTGATTCTTTGCTCAGGCTTAGGTTCAGGTTTTTCCCCAGCCTACCAGGGTCGTTCTGGACTTTAGGCTTCTTTCTCTTGCAGGCTGGGGGGGGAAAAGAGTGACACCAGGGACCTCTCTCAGTGTTATTTGTTCTAGTCACCCTGTCCCATTTCCTTGGGCTCAGGGGGTTCCACTCCATCTGCTCTGTCACCCACCTCCATCTTCTTACTCCAAGGGCATCAAGAAGGGTTTCTACAAGTAGGTATGAGCTACAAAGAAGGCCCGACAACCCAGAAATAGCCACCATAAGATACAACAGGTGCTAAGAACAAGGGACAGAATGTCGAACACAGATGTGCTCCCCAGCATAGCAGCAAGACTGTGTGGAAACAAGTCTTCTACAAGGACCTGCAGAAGGATCGCAGGGACTTGAACAGACAAGTAGCCTACCAGGCACTCTCCATGTGGGTACTGAGAAACAGAGAAGGGCAGAAAAGTCTGCTGAACTGCCCTGGCCAAACCTGTTGGAAGGCAGAAACAAATTGACCACCTCCTTTGGTACTGCCCATACACCAAGAGGTGTAGAGGAGAGTAATCTTACTCCTCATGATGGTGAAAGGGGTCAAGACATTGCCCAGAGAGGCAGCGCTGTTCGGGCACTTGATCAAGCGGCAGAGGACCCTGATAACACACTTGAACTAGTTAGCCTTCTGCTTTAGGAATGCCCTGTTGAAGACCAGGAACCTACTTATATACAGGTACACAAATCTTTCAATCAAAGACTGTGTCAAAATGGAACTGAATGAGATACAGAGGTACTACAAAAGGGAACAGAGGGGTTGGGGCGGGGGTAGGCAGGGGGCAGAAGGATCGGAGGCAGTTTGGCATGATTGTAATGGGTAAAGGTGATAGCAATGAATGCAGTTATTGTAATGGGGAGTTGATGGTGTAGTGGTGTATGCATGTTAGGGACTGTCTGGAGTAGGTCGATTGATCCCCTTTGCTGGGGGATGGGGAAACTCCAAGTGGAGTATGCCTGGGGATTGGCACACAGGAAAGCTCCCATGTGGAGGACACTACGATAACTGTTTTTGAAAATGCTAAGGGAACAGTTCTCCCACAGCATGTCAGGAAATCGAGGGTGTCAGCTAGGGGCCCCAGCTGCCTGTAAACCAATGCCAGGAGCATGGGGAACTAGCAGGAGGAGCCAGCCCTCCTGCTTTCTAGTGGGGCAAAATGACCTGGTAGGGATCATGGAGACCTGGTGGGACTCCTCGCATGATTGAATGTAGCCGTAGAGGGCTACACCCTGCACAGAAGGGACTGAGCAGGGAGAAAAGGCAGAGGGGTAGCTCTCTACGTGAGGGAGCAGTACACCTCGCTGGAGCTGACATTGGCTCCAAAGATAAGCAGCTTGAAACCCTCTGGGTCAAGCTTCGGGGGGGAGGAGGGGAGCGAGGTGAGGCCAGAGAGACCTAAGTGTGGACATTTACTACAGGCCACTGAACCAAGGGGAGGAGCTGGAGTTCTCTCAAGAACTGACAGAGGCTGCGCGTGCAAGGGACTTGATTGTCATGGGCAACTTAAATTACCCAGACAGACTGGGAGGAACACTCGGTTAGGTCAGATCGGTCATGTAGCTTCTCAACCATAATCAAGGAGATCTTTTTGACTCAGGAAGTGCAAGAGGCAACCAGAGGTACTGGTCTACTAGACTTGGTGTTGGCCAAAGGAGATGATCTGGTGTGTGGCTTGAACACGAAGGGTAGCCTGGGTGACAGCAACCATAAGCTCATCAGGTTCACTGTCTGCCGCAAGGCTGACAAATCAACTGGCAGGACTGAAGTCCTGGGCTTCAAAAATGCTGACTTCAACAGGCTCAGAGCCCTAGTAGTGGAGGCGATGCAGGACCAAGGACGGAAGGTGAATGGGGTGCAAAAAGAGTGGTCATTCCTCAGGGACATGATTCTCAAAGCACAAAAGAAAACCATTACCATGAAGAGGAAAGGTAGCAGAAGGGCAAGCCCTCCTGGCTCAATAGAGACATCGCAGTCCTCTTGAAAAAGA